GATGTGAAATCAACTTCCCGCATCCCCGCTACCCCTGGTGCCGATCTAGGGCCGAAGCGAGAGGATGAGGAAGGAGGGGAGTGGCCGGTGAGGGAGGCCATTGGCAGCATGATGTGGGTGTTGGCTTTCTCGTGTCCAGACGTCTCGTTCGCCGTGCGTGCGGTAGCGCGCCACGCCCACGCCCCGGCGAAGAGGCACTGGGATGCCATCCAGAAGAACCTCGGCTACTTAAAGGAGACGAGGGACCTCGGTATCACCTACCAACGGGGATCGGGGTTAGGGCTGGCCGTGTACGTACACGCTAGCTACGCCGACACGGAGGATAGGCGTTCGGTGTCAGGGTTGGCGACGACGGTTGGAGGTACCGTTGTCAGCCATGGTTACAAGACGCAGAGCATCGTGTCTTTGTCTTCGACGGAAGCCGAGTACATTGCTGCCGGGGAGGGTGTCAAGGAGGCGTTGTTTGTGTGTGCTGTGCTTTCGTTTGTTGCCCCAGAGACCAGAGGTAGCAGCATCCAGGTCCTTGAGGACAACCGGGGGGGCGCAGCGTTAGTGCAGAACCCCCTCAGCTCAGGTCGCACGAAACACATCCACGTGAGGTTTCATTTCATCCGCCGATTGTTTAGGTCGGGGGATATTACGGTCAAGTTTGTTCCGACAACGGAGCAACACGCGGACCTCCTTACTAAGGACCTCAGCAGGGCTAGCTTGCAGCTTCACCGGCGCACGTTTTTAGCACTTGCCTTGGACTTGTTCGTGTGTTTGGATACGGACTGGTAGATCTGCCGACAACAACGGGAACACGCAGATAGGGGCATAGGTATACCATGACGGTTACTATGCGGGGAAACCTATGCGGTGGAACCTCTCGAGCGCTCTCTCGAGCTTATCGGGACCTCACTCTTCCTCCGCTCCCCTTTCGCGTGCTTGACACACAAAAAAAGATAAAACAAATCTCCCACCTTCCAAGTAAAGGACATACAAACGTACGAATACACTAGTGTTACATCCCTCGAGGGAGTCCAATAGGAAATGGCGGACAGCGTAGCCGGGGAAAATATCCCTGGCGGACCGTCGGAGGGAGACCAGAGCTCGGCAGAGCTCACGAGCCTCAAAGCGGATGTAGGCTCGCTCGCAGAGCAGATCAGCAAGTTGACGCTACTGGTAGGCGAGCCAACACGGAAGGAGGAGGAGCCCAGCGACGCCAGAGGGAGCGACGCTGGCCGCGGTGATGCTAGAGAGAGCGCCGCCACGGCGTCTGCAGAAGTCCAAGAAAGAGCATCACAGACTGGGAGCGCGCAGGACGACACGTACCTGCGCGAACGTTTCGGAGACTCTGGTCCGGAAGGACGACACAGCGGCGAAGCAGGGGGCTATGTCCCCCAAGAGG